GATTAAACATAGTGTTTTTTTTTTAAATAAATCAATAATTATTGTGATGATCGGCCAGGCAAGGATTTAGGGTACGGATTTGAGATTTCGGTGACCTCGCTTGCATCGTGCTACTGAACTTCCAACCGCTGTTGTGAAAAACTTTACTATTACACTTGAGATCAGAAAAACGGCACAGGGTAGGTAGCATCTCCAAGTATATATCCCACACAAAAACTCAATTTCGACCCCAAATCATCAACTACCCATTTTCATAGATCAGTCGTCTGATATTAATAGTTGTTGTTGCTTCATCATGAGGTGTTTATTTTCCTTCCGATGAATGCATCATTTACTTGTGGCAACGAATGCACCTATAAACCGATGGACTCGATGCTAGTAACAATTTTATAATTTGTCAATGGTGTATATGCGGTGAACAGAAAAACAGGGAAACGCTGATTATCAACGTCTGACGTTAATAAACAAGTAGCGGATTTTGACAAGTAGATAATTTTGTTTGATTTCAGCACGTTTTGTCACATGATCGTGGCGGGCTACACAGAATTTTGGTGAGCATCTGAACAATTTTACACTAAATTCAAATGTGAGGTGAAGAAACAAACCATGCGATAATATCCTAGCGCCCTACACGTTTTAGCTTTTCCCTTGCTCTGAGTAAATTCAATTTCGTAACATGTGATTTTTTGTGAATACAACTCAATTATTATAAATTTCAATTTATTGTGACAGTCAATCAGCTGATGAAATATGTTCTATAAATACTATATAGTAAATTAATGGTCGCGGTATCATGCCCAAGTCAAACCGTATAACAATATTCTGCACCTTAAACATACGCTGTCTAATGTAAATTTAATATTGTGCTGAGCTAAATTAAAATGTAATTACGCAACTACACCTACTTAGCCGAAAGCCAAGCCAAGTCAAACTTTCAGTATTAGATTCTATTAGATAGAAAATTTAACGATAACCTATAAAGTCTGTTTTGGTGCCGTTAAAAAGTATTCCAAGTCAACAATGTTGCCAGCTCCGAATTTTCATTGTATGTTAGAATTAAAATAAACATTTTATCGCTCGAAATTTCTTGTAAGTAATTAGCAAGAAAATATTACCTAAAATTGGAGAACAACGGTTCAATTTTTTAAATATCAGCATACGGGTTATTGGAAAAGCGTTTATGTTATTCGGAATCTAGCTACACATCATAGTGTATTTACAATACCAATAGGAATTAAAGAATAAAGTTTTGCCAGATTGTCAAAGTTTGTTTACCAATTTCATCGATTGTAGTATTCTATAACTAAATTACAAACAATGAATAATGAACATAATAGTATCTCATATATGTGATTGTCGATAACTACCGGCTTTCACTCGTCTACTGTTCAATTCGTGAATATAAAAATGTCGTACATGTACTGCACCTCTGACGGCATCAGTAAACCATACACGATGAACACACGATGACAGGGTACCTAGCATAACCGTATTGCAGACAATCTTTTTATAGCAAATGGCGAAATAAATGTATGACTATTAAAATATTAATACTTGGTTAACATTTTCGGCAGTACACGGGCCTTATAATCTTGCAGGGATCTGACAATTAATTGTCTCCAAGTCTCCGAAATTGAACAACATTCAAAAACGTATCACACATTAGGTCAAGAATAGATTAAACGTGCATATTAAACTTACCTATCAATTCAATGTGCTATTAGTCATTCTCAATGGAAACAATCGCATTATGTAATCCAGCTGTGTCTCAACGAATGCATCAAACGCAATCTGTTACGAATAATTAATTCGACAACTATATTTAACCTACGCCCGGCTTCCCGATTGACAAATCCCAGAGCTTTGGACTTTATGTTGTCAATCCTTACTATTACACAAACATAATGTATAGTTTTTGTGGCTGAATTTTTTCACAATTAAATCTAACGTTGTCTGTTGACCTGAGCTATCTTTGATCTCCAAACTGAAATATCGGTGAATTGCTGTTCTAAATGAACAGTACAAAATAAGTTTTAATAATGCGTGCATTTTGTGCTACTTGTCGTAATACATATTTGCTATCAAGAATCCGGATTTGCACACAAATGACATCCGAAAACTTAATCGACGATCAATCGGTCTCTCCCTGATCATCAGCAAAGTCCCTGCACAGTCATAATAGCATGCTAGCGCACACACATAGAGATGGTTCACTCTCATACAGGGCCAGCCCTAAAGAAAACAAGTATCAATTATTTACTTGTTACGACTAGCTTCGGATTTAAGCTTTTGTACAAAACGATTCTCCTGTGCCTTTTCTTCAGAGATTAAATTTTATTATGCCAGAAACCCAACATATACCAGTCTTCAAATTAGAACGGTGCCAGCTTTAGTAATTTATCGTATACGTAAGCAATGATTAATAATAAGTAAATTGGAAAAGTTGCTTAGAACATTTGTAAATATTTTAAATCTGGATTGGTGTAAATTAACGCACATACGTCAGGTCAGTTTCTAATTTTATTTTACTTCAAATCTTTTACTCTGTGCTTTACGGAGTAATTATTGCCAAAAAAAAAGAAACAGGTACATTGTCAACGACGATAATAAAGAAAGTTACCGCCTTTTCGCATATTCATGTAAAGAATGTAAAACTGGGAAAACGTAGCAATTTTCATTATATAGAACATTCCACAGACTATTACATGAATGTAAACACATATTTATCTCAAATGAAGTTCTTTTTTTCTTTGAGTCTGTACTGTAACTATGGCCTTCGTTTGGTTTTGAAACTGTTTTAACTCTTGTTTCTCACAGACCAAGAGTAATAGTACCTTTGTTCTCAATCGTAGCCCCAAGATTGTAGTGGAAAGAAATTACCGTAATAAAATCGTTCGATAAAATTACATATTTGTAGGCGTTATAGATGCTTACGTTACGTCTAACAATCTTACGATAGAGCATAACTTTCTTGTTAGCAACATTAAAGTTCTGTGACATTTTTCTCCCCATTTTTTAGAATCCAAGACTCTTGAAACGCTTGACTTGCGTATGTTAGCGCCAACCGGACCGATGCTTGAGCCGATGTGATGATCACTGTGCACGTTCATCTGCAAACACTTGTAATGATCACGATGTGAATATACTATTACGTAAATCTTTTTAGTGAAATACATGTTTTATTTCACAGTAGTCACTGTGATAAGATCAAATCATCAAACTTTAATGTTGTTATTGTTCACAGAATTCGTTAGGCCGGGACTAGAGAACCACTTGTGGGTCAAAGTGTGTATGTTTGTGTGATATGTAAAAATAGGACTTTATTTGTCAGCTACAAGAGTTTCTACATCACAAGTTATGACGCAATAGATGGTTGAAATATTGTTTTGTTTCAAATTGGTTCTCACATCTCCAAGTGTTTTTGGTGCGGATATTTGGTGATAAATAACGTAGAAACAATGCAACAGCCTGTCCTGTGATGGTATCACATGTAGTGCATACATCGGAAATATTACTATTTTTGATACCCTTGTTCACAGACCAAATTCCCTTGAAGCGACTCTTGTGTAGAACACAGATACATGATCACATACACACCGGCATACACACACTCTCTCTCTTCTTCCTCTTTCTCTCTCTTTTATCGTTCTCGTTTTATTCGATTTTCTCATTTATGTTGATCCAATTATTTCGCACCTAATAAGACTCGTTTGTCTAATGAAGTTAAATGTACTATATTAAACTTGTGACACAATCATGTGTCGTTCAAATAAATACTTCTTACTAACAAATCATTACGCAGACGGAATAGGTACATTGTGTCCCAATATTTGGCATCCGTGTGGGAAATACAAACAGATTATATCATCACATTATGTGATAGTACTCTGATCAGCCCACGTTGAACAATGCTAGCAAAAAAAAAGACCAAAAAACATCAAAAAACACCATAAGAACACCGTACAAATACCAGTTTGGGTTTCTTGTCATCTTTTAGCCGTCGGGCTAGAGTTGTTGCCGAGTCGTGAGGAAAATTTTAATTAATAATTTATTCACACCATTGATTGAGACAGTTGGTTCAAATAGCAGCATATTTCGATATCATTTATATGAATTACGTAAGCGTTCTTTTCTACAGACACATATATACTCTCTTTTCTCTATTATTCCTTTTTTTCCCCTTTTCACGCACTTGACAAAAATGGTATAAAACCGTAATATGGTCTCCTTATTGCCATTTAGCCTCAAACGATACGATATATTATGTGGAGAACGCCAGCTAATTGTGAGCACATCATAAATCATTGGCTTTTGAAAAGCTAGCGTCTCACATATTTTGTGATTGGTCCGTTATTAAAATTGCCTCAATACGGAAATAGGGGAGAGGGGAGAATCACTTGTTTGCTTCCTTTTTAGTTTCATATTGACTATCGATCTAACGTTTGCGAATTAATTGTGCCATGGCGGTTTACCAATGATTTACAAATTCCATAGTTTTGATCCATTTCTTTTACGCTATGAACAGGTTTTTTAAATTGGCTAGATGTATTACCATGATGCTTTAAACTTTTCAAGTTTTCTTGATCTTCCCCTATCTCATCGTTTGCAGACTCATTGCAGCAACAACAACCACTCGGAAAAGTACAATTAGTTAATCAAATTATCCGTTTCTCGTTTTCTTTAATGATTTTTCATCGATTAAATTTATAATTGTCTTATACGGTAAACGCATGTATTACTACGCAGATGATGTGCATAGTTTTATCGGCACGGCGGTATTTCCCATGTACGGATAGTAAAATTATATAAATGACACGTCCTCCACCACAGTTGCAAAAATTAAAAAAAAAAAATAACGTATTGGACGAGGCTGGTCTCTTCCATTAAAAAGTTTTTTTTTTTTTGGTAGATAGAAAAGTATTTACCTTTTTTAAAAACAGTGGGTAATCCACTATCATCACTTTCCTTTCTTTTTATATTCCTTATTTCCCGACACAACCATGGAAGACAAACCTCAGTCATCAGATTTACCAATATATTCTTATTATCGTTCACAAACTCCGAGCGAAAGCTCCGTCGCAAGTTATTATAATTCAACAGAAATATTCAACGCCATCATCCAGAACAATGTAGGTCGCTTTAGATCGTTACTAGAAGAATCCAATATCGAAATAAACCTGTTGAGAGATGAAAATGGCATGTCACCGTTGATGGTTGCCGCTTCCAAAAATTGTCCAACTGTAGTCAGATATTTGATGACTCTTGAAAATCTTGACATTGACTTGAAAGGTTGATAAACTCTTATTTAATGTTTCGGTCAGCAAACAACGTAGCTAATATTTCTTTTGCCCCTTTCTACTTTCGTGCTTGTAGACAATGACGGTGAGTCTGCCCTCTTTCAAGCTGCCTCGTCAGGAAACGTTGAGATCGCAGAAATTCTAATTGGTTCTGGAGCATTAGTCGATTCCGAAAACAAGGTAAAAATGATGTGCCGCACGCTTATACCAAATTTGGATTATTCCTGTAATCGATTTTGCGGAGATTCCAATTTCCGTTAGATGTACTACCACGCATTCTTGTTCCACGTCACAATTACCAAACTGTCGGGAATAAATTAATCAAGTTTGTCATATTTTTTTCTAACAGGGAGAACGTTCGACTCCTTTAATCGTAGCTGCATCTAAAGGCTATGCAGGTGTATGCCGCTTACTACTTGACCATGGCAGAGCAAATGTCAATCATCAAAACAGTGCACAAAGGACTGCGTTAGCACTCGCCGCATACGGTGGCCATTATGCAGTCGTAGAGATATTGCTATCGAGAGGAGCAGATGTAAACATAATCGATCAGGTATATTAATCACTGCTACGACCGGAGATGGATTATTTGCGTCCCCCCAATCGATCGTTTGTTTACATTCTCGCATTCATCTCCTTCATGTAGGAAGGATGGACAGCCCTCATGCTCGCGGCCTTTGGAGGCTGGCCAGAAATATGTTACCTTTTGTTGGAAAATAACGCAGACAAGCACATATCTACAAAAAATGGCAAAAACGCAGTATCAGTCGCTCTCGATGCTGGCCGCAAAGAAGCAGCGTTGTTAATAAATGATTACGTTCCAGAGCAGCCTTTATCTCCTCTCTCTCCACAATCACCATGTTCACCAGCCGTTCCACCACAATCAGCGTTCATGCCCCCGGTCTCGCCGACATCCCCACGTTTTCGTCGTTATAGTAGGCAAACACAGTTCTTGGCCTCGAATGTGCGTGCGCTAACGCTACAAAAGACAAAGTCTGACGTGTACCGACCACCAAGTCCCAAGGCTGAAGCAACAGCAGCAGAAGCAACAGAAGCAGCAACAGAAGCAGCAGCAGAAGCAGCAGCAACGAACGCACGACGGATTGCAATAAGACCGAAAATACCTCGTGAGCCCAAACGCAGAAAGCCTGGCCAAGATCCCAACTCACCTTGGGTCATATTCTCGTTGGTCGTCACCAGTTGCATATGTAATTCATGTCTACTTTCCGTTGGCAAGATGAGTAATCCAAAAGTTCGCCAGGCTTGGAGAGAAAAAGTTGCGTTGGTCTTCCTCATATTAGTGGCCTCGATGATCTCGGCGTTCCTGAGTTTCGCTCTAACGCCCATCGCATGCAACGATAAAAAGACAGTGCACCAATCGGATGTTGTACGGCTATTTGGACCCAATTCACCTGGAACAAAGGCACACATAGTACGCGGTCAGTTGTTCAACACGGGAACCTACTTTTCGAACGAGAGACATCGACCGATCGCTCCGTTTACCGATGCCGACTTGAATTCGACGATAACGCCACTGTTTGGACATGACATTTCTGGATTCTTTCCCCTGGATTACAAGTCCATCGGATGCAGTCGTGCTCCCGTAAACGATGGATCAATCTGCACACAAGCCGCTGCAGCGGGTAACACGAAACTCCATTGCCACGTCTCGCAGACATCACGAAACGAGCTCGAAAGCCTGTCCATGAAAGTGTTTGTCGGATTCAATTGGGACGATGTAACAGAAGGGGACCGTGACCTGTTTGCCTTCAACGGAGACGTCTATGACGTGACGGATTACTTGAACTCGACCAATACGAATCACTGGCTTGGCGACGATGCGGTCACGGAATGGATCAGAGATCTCGTCGGTCGAGATGCGACGATGGATATCGCACGCGAAAATACAAACCTTGCCAAGTGTTTGCAACATTTCAGAGTCGGTGTGATTGATGATGGAACGTCCGCAAGCTGTTTCATCGCCAGCGCGATTTTGAGGATGGTAACGATTCTATTCCTTGGCGCAACATCGATTAAATTTGCCTTTGCCAGTTTGTTTGACTGGTACTTGGCGAAAAAATTGTCCATAAAACCTGACATAAACGTTGCCAATAACCATATCATGATGTTGGTCACTTGTTATTCCGAAGGCGAAACCTCGATAAGATCTACTCTGGATTCCTTGGCAAATACGACGTATCCCAACGACCACAAGCTATTGTTCCTTATCGCAGATGGTGATATCACTGGCTCGGAAAACGACAGATCGACGCCGCAGATATGCAAAGACTTGCTCGAGCCTCAGTTCCCAGGTGCTCCCGAGCCTGAGCCATTATCTTACATTGCGACCGGCGACGATATCAAGCAGCATAATATGGCACAAGTGTACACTGGTTATTACAACGCCGGTGGTAATCGGGTGCCAATGGTTTTGATTATCAAATGCGGTACTCCCGAGGAGCGTCAAGGTCCAAAGCCGGGAAATCGTGGTAAACGCGACTCTCAATTGATCTTGATGAGATGGCTTCGTCACATTTGTTTCAACGATGACATGTGTCCATTGGAATACGAACTGTTCGAAAGAGTGCACAAGTTGACTGGTGTGACGCCTGACAAGTATGAAATGATATTGATGGTTGACGCTGACACGGTTGTAAAGCCGGATAGTGCTAGTCATCTGGTGGCGGCTATGGAGAGCGATCCTACGATCCTCGGAATGAGCGGTGAGACGAAAGTGGCGAACAAGACTGAAAGTTGGGTTACCATGATTCAGGTAAACAATCGTAATTGTAATGAATACACGCTTTTTCATGCCATGACAAGTTGATAAAAATAGTGTTACTAACGTGGAAAAAAATTTTTCTTTAAATTTCAGGTGTTTGAATATTACATCTCTCACCATCTTGGAAAGTCATTCGAGTCCGTCTTTGGTGGAGTTACTTGCTTACCGGGATGTTTCTGTATGTACCGAATCAAAGCACCGAAAAGCGATGGCTATTTCGTACCGATTCTTGCAAACCCCGACATTGTCGATGCGTACGCGTCAAACGATCTAGAATCTTTACACCGCAAGAATTTGTTAATTCTTGGTGAAGATCGTTTCCTGACAACGTTAATGTTACAGACCTTCCCCAAACGCAAAATCATCTACGAGCCCAAAGCCATCTGCAAGACGGTCGTACCGGATAAATTCAGCGTTTTGCTCTCTCAAAGACGGCGTTGGATCAACTCGACCATTCACAGTCTTATGGAACTTGTCATTACGCCTTACCTGTGTGGATTCGCCTGCTGCTCTATGCAATTCTTTTTGCTTTTGGACCTGTTTGGATCTGCCGTGACGCCCTTCTCTGTACTGGTCGCATTATATTTGATAATTGTGGGCGTATTGGGACAGAACGTCAGTGCGCAGTTAGAGTTTCTTGGAGTAGTATTACTCTTACCGTCATTATTGCTTGTGGTTTCTTCACGCAAGGCCTCGAACATCTTGTGGATGATGGCATATATCTTGGCTTTTCCGATCTGGAATTTCGTTCTCCCGGTCTATGCATACTGGCACTTTGATGGTAATTTATCAACATTTTAGGCAATGCTGTTGTTTCCTACGATTTCCCCCATCTTTTCTATCATAACAATGTATCTAACGTATATTACTCTTTTCTTGCAGATTTCTCATGGGGTGCTACTCGTAAGATTTCGGGAGTTGACAATGGTCACGGAGATGGAGATACAGAAAAAATAGAAGCTAAACCAGTGCCGATGAAGAAATGGCACGAATGGAAGATGCAGGAAAAAACGCGAACGTTGCTAAAGCATTATTCAGGTTTTGTATCAACAAAAGCCGCGTCTATGCCCAAGAAGGCTCCGTCACCGGGCATTGCAAAATCAAATAGTTTACGGACGCTTAGGAGAAACAAGGACAACGACGACAATAATAATACACGACGAGCAACTCGCAGTACTTTGTGCTAATAAAAAAAAAGTCGCGCTTTCTATGATAGCGTTATGACGACATCAATTACTTTGTACACTAGAACTTTTATAATTAATTTGGATTTAATTGTGGAAAGGTCATATTCTCAACAATACCTTATGAATCATAGTCATTTGTATTTACTCTGTTGTAAACTATGCACATATCGGACTGTGGAGGAGGGTATTGGTCTGTTCCGGGAGCGGGCCGTGGGATTGTGATTTCTCCTCACTAATTAAAAGCGCCAAGAAGTAGAGAGTGTGTGGTTCTGGCTGGCGCATCTATTTTCTTTTTCTTAATAAAAATTTACTTTAAAATATTGAATACAAAATGATAATGGCTTTTTTCCCTTTAATTAGTAATAACATTGATATTAATTAATTAATTTCATTTACGGTATTAAAACAAACTTGGTCATATTGTTATTTTTCATATCGTGTAATAAAATTGATAAGATTATCTTTATAGATATGAAGATATGCAGTACATATAAAACGTATTAATTCAAATAATAGAACCTGCATCCCCTCACCGGTTTGCGCGGGATGTAGTTTTAGCGATCCGGGTTAATAAGCAACGATATTGATTATGCATTTTTTAAAAGCTTGTTATATCGAAAATGACTATATAACGGTATGATCGTTGAATCCGAAACTTTTTTTTTTTTGCTTTTTTCAGTCTGAATGGCTTACCAATAAGCATTGTCTGGAAGCAAGGGGGCATGCATCAAATCTAGAAATGTGTTTAGGCTTTTTTCCCCTCCCTTTTTCGATTACATATCCAACGGGCAATCTAGCGCGCTCTAGTTCCATACACCCTTTCGGTTAGATTCGATCGACTTTGGAAACCAATAATGAACAAAAAAGGAAATTTTAACAGCAGTGAAGGGCATGTGCAACAATGTCAATCGCTTTACTCAGGACTGCGTTATCAAATGTGATCAACAAAATCGGTCGGTGTTTCAGATAAGTCATTTGATTCCTACATGTGGCTGATCAATGAAAGAAGGGTTGGGTACTGTCTGGGGGCGAACGGACAAAATTTTAAACGTAAACTAGAGAAAAAATTTAAGAGGCTTCGCTCTTCAGTAGTCAGTAAATCTGTATGTTTTGTACCAATATTTTAGCATTCAAAATAGCGGAGAAAGAACTGTGCACAAATTGGAGTATTATTCAATTTTCATTGTTTAAAAAAAAGGATTTTTCTCATAATTGATGATGCCTAATATTGATATTGAATATAGTTATTTTTTGTATTTGCACAGTAATGCCTTAATTTGATATCGATGTTCTGTTTTGGCGGCGGTTAAACCGATTAGATGTTGGCACCAATTTTAACATAGAAACTATACGTTTAAGGAAGCTACCACAGCATTATAGCTTACATTATGCGCTAAAATTAAAAGTATTAGTATGGAGAGAAAAAATTGATGATTAAAGATGGTAAGATTATTTGTTTAAAACAAAATAAGTCTATATTTGCACGATATATACACATTATAATTATCGTCAAAAAGCAAATTTTAATTGGCATAATTGATAATATATATATCTGTAAATAATTTGACTAGAGTTCGTGGGATAAAAACGGGTAAAGTATTCTGAGACCAAATTTTTGTAAATATAAACTCTATACAGCTTTAAGTGGTTAAATAGTCAACCGTAATGGCAAGGACATGCTGTCTTGTGAAGAAAGCGCAATTTCCGTATTACAGTACTAATATTAAGTGAGATGATGGACGCCGATATTAAACACAACGTGGGATTGTATTACAACTCGAGAAGACATCTTGCTCTGGTAAAAAAAACTATAATGTAGAAGTAACCTGAATTAACATGATTGTAAGATTGGGTGTGCCGTAGAGATCTATGCTAGACATTTTTATACAATTTCTCCTTTTTCTTATGTTAAGTTTATAACGTGATCAACAGCAAAATCGGAGTCATATATTAATATATATACGCTCATATACAGTATTTAATAATACTATTAATTCTGTATTGTTTATCAAACGTTAATAGGTAGATGTCCCTCTGTACTATAGTCAGGGAGATTTCGAAATTTGTAGATCAATTCTAGAATAATCTGCAACTGTACTCATCTGATTGGTGCTCGACACTGTTACATAGAGAATTTGATGCGGTCAAATACTTTGAAACTAACGATAGAAACATACTTTTACGAATATGCTCTTTCAGGATCCCCTCAACTTTACATAGTAGTTTTTTATTAATTTGAGTTTAAAGTTTACACCTTGCTCTACAATGAACGCAAAAGTAGCTGCCAAAAACTTGCCTTGTCTGTTTGAGTCTCTTGCCGACGAATATGATGAAAGTCAGTTAACAAGATGTGAGAGTTAAAAATGGCGGCATGCAGCAGAGAGTATAATGGAAATGGCTAAGTATTTTCCTAAATTATCTGTATTACTTGAGATAGTTACTCTTTATGTGAAAAGCATTTACAATCAGATTGTCGTTAAGAAGTATTATATTAAACGAACCATGAAGTTAGATGATTCGACAATGATAGAAAAAGACTGAGATTCTCTTACAGTAATGAGTTGTCATCTATCGAAAAAAAATTTTCTGAATCAGGAGTCCAAGTATCCATGCCAGATCCAGCATACGAAGTGCTTCTGAAAAAGTACATGATCTAATTGTCCGAGAATGCGGTACTGAAGCAGCAATTGAATGAAACGTTTGCAGACCAACAAGTCCGTATCAGGACTGTGACGGAAATTGCTAAAAGGGAGCGAGGTAACTTGTATAATGATGTAATAAGTTTGATTGAAAATTACGAACGATTTGGTTTAGATAGTCTTTTAGAGTATTCTCCTTCAAAATGGCTTGCGAAACAAAATCCAGTTATTGTAAGATTTATTGAAACTCTATTTTTTATCAAATCACTCTTGGGTTGATTTTCTCTAGTCTAATTATAAGATAGTAAATTCTTAAAAAAATTAAAATACTACTGCTTTATTTAAAATCTTGACTGGACAGTATACCATGCCATGCGCTATCCTCGTCAAGCTCTTTATTATTACAAAGCTTTACAATATATTCGTTAAGCGTACCTGCATTAGGACGCTTATCAGGATCAGCATCACAACACCATTCGACAATTTTCTTGTATTCCTCTGGTGCGGAATCAGGCATCGATGGTCGTAGTCCGCCCATGATATCGCATACTAGATCTCTATCAAACTGCCTATTTTTAAACGGTTGTTCAACGGTAGCAATCAAATACATAATAATGCCAAAAGAATACACGTCTGACTGCTGCGTAAATTTGCGGGTGCGGAAGACTTCCGGTGCAATAAAAGGCAAAACGCCTCGAATAGTTGAATTTGACTTGTGTGACTTCACCGATCGAGAAAGATCGAAATCACAAATCATGGGAGAACTTCTTCGATTAAAAACAATGTTTCCACCATGAAGATTACAGTGTACTAAACCCGAATAATGAATAGAACACAGATCGCATGAAATCAGCGATAAAAGTCTTAATTTATCTTTCCACGTCAACTTGTTAATATTTTGATCCAAATAAGACCAAAGATTACCACCATGACCACATCCCATAACAATCATGTACTCGTTTGTTTCTGGGACTTGTGTGATCCCACAAATTTCAAGTGTAAGAAAAGTAAATAAACACTTGGCATGATTTCGGAACTATTAAATAAAATAAACACAATGTCAAATTAAATATATTTAGCTAAGACTACAATTATAACTTACCTCGGTAATAAATAGTTCATCCGTCCCATCAAAACGCTTAAATTTTCTGAGTACAATAGTTTCATCCATGTGTGGTGCTTCTAAATATCTTCTATATCTGGCAGTATAAACTGTTCTATAACCACTGGATCCAATTTCTTTGAGTTTATAAAAGTCACCATATTGCAAGTACCCGACATTTTCCTTAAGTTGTATGAACCTGTCCACTATTGCATGTACGTCGTGGTAGAACACTAAATAGTATTCTCGAGTAGACGGCTTCTGGGCGATCCCGATTATCCAAATATTGTCTGGTGTTAGTATCTCTGGGTATTCCTTGGTTAACTATAAAATACAATTGTTACACCAATAAACGATATGGTAATGCACGATACGCATTACTAATTGGCATTGTTTAATGTGAAGTAATTTACCCGATGAAAATCAAACGACTGATCAATTCCATCAACTATTTTTCTGAGCGTCACGCGTGTCACCCCGATTCTTGTTGATTCTAACCAATCCGCAATAAGTGCATCCGTGGCGTAATAATGGCATCTCATGTATCTCATGTACAGTACGTTTGATAACAGGGAGTAATCGATCCATTGTATATACGCATCGTACGGATTGATTATATTATGCCACGATTCCATGATAAATAAATCCAGAGACTTATTGCCAGTTGTCCAATTGAGCGGTCTTGGTGCTTTACATTTATAACAGAATGACTTTATCTTAGAATGAAATTGCAATTGTACACGCCAGGCATAACGTCGGCCAGTATCTTTCTCTTATTAGACAATACTTTTGTTTGCTTGCTTTGTATGTAAATCCGATGGTAGCCAAACATCTGTGGCAAGAATATCTGGATGCTTATCACATAACTAGTGGAAATAATAAATTATAATAAAACCAATAATTTATTTATTTAACTATTCAACAAACATGATGCATAAGTAAATAGCTTACCTCGGTATAATATAAATCAGGTGTCTCGTCTGTTATCTCAAGTGGAATCGATTCAATATAGTCACGGGTAGCAGTAGGTAGACCATGCAAGTACACGTATTCCATAACACCAATACTAATACAATCGTCTGGAATCCATTCTAAATAGGCATCATTTGCTGAGTTTGTTTGTAATTGAGTTTTCTTGATAAAGTCATCGAGCCGCTTGTTGTTGCTAGTCCATCCATCGGATAATTGTTTGTGTCCGAATATGCACCACACTGGGCTACATCGAGATATCCCACATGCAGCGCAAAACCCATATCGAG